TTGAAAATGTGTGGATGGTTCTGCACGAGACCTTCGCCACTATAATCAAATCTCATGTGCTGTTCTCGGGCTGCCAGTTTCCTGGGAACGGATCTGCTTGACCCTCATACGTCGAATTCGACGGGGAGAGTCGAGTATGTATGTACACACACACACACAGACGCGCATATATATATATATATATATATATATATATATATATATATCTTACTTATTATAAAACGCAGATTGTGTGTGTGTGTGTGTGTGTGTGTGTGTGTGTGTGTGTCTGCCTGTAACGTTTATATATTGGATCGGATTTCCTACATTTTTCAACCGTTTTCAACAAAACATCACAGGACTACATAAAATTACCTTGTGGAGGTTCTAACAGCGCCAAAAATGGGAAAAATATAATTGTTTTTGCACAAAATCAATTTGAAAACACGATTAAGAGACATCGTGAAAATGGAAGGGGGACAACTCACATCGGGTTGTTTGTGTGTGTGTGGGTTCCTTTAAATATGGGAGCGGATTTCCTATATTTTTCAGCCGATAAAACAAAACTTCACTTTTTTTTTGGCAGGTAGTGTTTCTTATTCTCTTGCACAGTTTTTTCTTTATTTTTAACATTCAGAATCCTTTAAAAATTCCATTTACAAGACAATTATTTATAATAAAATTCTATTCAATTGGGAGACTCATAACGATTGAAAACAATGTTTTTGTTTGAGTTTGGGTTTGACCAATTCGTAAAAAAAAAAAAAAAATAATTAAGACATGCGTGTCCGTCAACCTTAAACAATAATCTAACGATCTCTACTGATTGTACGAATACAAACATCGGATGAATTCTTTATCTTTAGGGAAAGATAATGAAATCTAAACATACACAAGTCCTAACTAAAAATAATAACCGGAACGGGAAACTACTTTAAATACACATGGTGTCCAATTTTTTTTACTGTATTCAATAATTAAAAACCATAAATTGTAAAAGATTATTATTACAGAAAGGCTACTAAATGAATAAGATTTGTTAGATCATAATTAATAAACCAAATAAAGTTAATATTTTTTGTATTAGAAACAAAGAGTGGAAAATATATTCAAATCAGAATTCTAATTATGAATCACCACAAGCAAAATATGCAATTTTTATTACTGTATTCAATAAGTAAAAATCATAAATTGTAAAACTAAAAGATTAAAGAAAGGCTACCTACATTTTTCAACCGAATTCAACAAAACTTCACATTTTTTTTGGCATGTAGTGTTTCTTATTGTCTTGCACACTTTTTTCTTTATTTTTACATTTAGAATGTTTTAAAAATTCCATTTACAAGACAATTGTTTATAATAAAATTCTATTCAATCGGGAGACTCATAACGATTGAAAACAATGTTCTTGTTTGAGTTTGGGTTTGACCAATTCGTAAAAAAAAAAAAAAAAAAAAATATAATTAAGTCATGCGTGTCCGTCAACCTTAAACAATAATCTTTGTCAATTTTATTTTTCAGTTTTTATGATGTCCACCATCTTGATCTATCTTTTACTGTTATATCCTCGGGCAACGCCGGGCTCTACTGCTAGTATATATATATATATATATATATATATATATATATATATATATATATATTATAAATAAATTGATTTAAAATATGTTTTTTTCCGCTACAGATTTCTAACCATGTTTAAAAATGGAAGGTCCGAATTTAATTTTGCAATTAAATTAAAGACATTAGTTCCATTTCATCCTCAGGCGAATTTTGGAGTAACTTATAAAATTACTGGGTTTTAAAGACAGCAAAAATCATAATTCACGTTTCCAAGGAAACAGAGAAATTCATTTGAACCAGACGAGGGGTGTTTGCGTGTTCATTATGTCTGTATTTTGATGTATCAGTTATTAGTGACGTTTTGGTAGGGGGTAGGGATGTATTCTTCTATGAAATCTGACATCCGTTAAATGCACATCGTCTGGATTTTTAAAAAAATGTTTAAAGATTTGGGGGGGGGTTTAGGTTAGAATATTTTTTATTTAACTACAATTTGAAAAATATTTTCACTTTTAATTTTTAATATACTATATTTCTTTTAAGAGCAAGTAAATGTATTAGAATCCCTTACAGTATGTAGAGTTATTTTCACATCAACTATAAATATGTATATTATTAGGTAACAATTTTTTTTATTTATATTTAAATTTTTTTTAAGTAAACTTTATGACAATGACGCCAATAATAGCTAATTGATTTCACTGATTTAGTAACCTTTTATTTTTTATATAAATCTAGTAATATCTTTTTTCTCATGTAAGTACAAAAGAAAATGGGTCATTCAATGGCTTATATCTTCTAGCTTTTCATATTAAATTCATTTTACTGTATGTGTTTTATTGGATTCATTTAAGTGCTTGTAGTACTTAGAGTGATAGCTGTAGGTTAGAATACGTTTTATTTAATTACAATTTTAAAAGATGTTAAGGTTAGAATTTCTTCTTATTTAACTACAATTTTAAATACAACTTTAAAATATTTTCACTGTTATTTTGATAGACTTTTTTTGTAAATGTAATAGAATTCCTTACAGTATATAAAATTATTTTTTCCCATTAAATATAAGTATGTATATTGCCAGGTCGCACTTTTTAAATTTATTTTTATTTTAAAATATTATTTAAGGAAAATTTTTGACAATGAGCGCATAAAATATCTATTTCATTTCTCTGATTCAATAAATTTTTGTTTTTTATAAACTTAGTAATATATAGTTTCTCATGAATGCACAAAGGACATGGGTCATTTAATGAGCTAATATTCTAGCTTTTCTAATTAATTTCCATTTTACTGTAGGTGTTTCATTTGATTCTTTTATGTGCCAGAAGTACTTCGAGAGAGATGTTTGATTTTTATATTTATTTAGCCTAAATGAACTTTGATGTTGGTTGAATCTTTTTTTGAACTCATAGCTAGTGCAACCTATATATATTTTTATGTTTTCAGGATTTTCAATTGAAGAGATACTGCATTGGTTTACTAATGATTCAGTGCGACATTTATTTTGTAGAGGGCAATTTTGAGGGTTTCTACAGTTACAAAATTTTTGTTTTCATTTTTATTTTATTTTTCCATTGTCAAAAATTTTTTGTTTTTGGTATAAGTGTTTATTTAAGATATTAGCATTATGTTTCTTAATAATTTTTTCTAAGTTTTCCGTACAGCTGTAATTCAATTTTAGTGTATTTTTATTTAAAATAGTACTTAGTTTACTTCCACTAGGAAAATGCTTGACTATTAATGCGAGGAATTTTTGTCCTAATTTGTTTTATACCATTTGGTTGTATGGGGGCGTATACCAAATTATTTTTCTACATCTGCTTTTTTCTATGGTTTCCATTTTCATTTTTAGTTAGTTTTGGGTTTTTATAGCCACTCTCTTTAAGAGCTTTGTTATAGGAATTGATATCCTCATCGAAAATCTTGTCATTTGCTGAATTTGTACTAATTCTTTTACTGATAGATAACGGTATATGTTTAATTATAGATGGGGGTGATTTGATTTAGGGTGTATATATAAAGGATTGGTGTTGGGTTTTTTATAAGGTATGTATGTATTTTTATTTAAATCTAATGTTATATCTAGGAAGTTCACTTTTTTAATTTAGTGCTAGCCGTAAATTTAAGCCCATGCTTTTAAATTCTTTAAATAATACCTTTCTAATTCTATCTATTTTGAAGTTAGTTGAGTTTTGTAAAAATAAAATATCTATAAGAACACCGGATTATATATCTTACTGTTCTTTCTTCATATATATATATATATATATATATATATATATATATATATATATATATATATATATATAATTTATAATTATTTATTTAAAAATATGATTCCAACTCGACATAAGAGGTCTCATGTTCGGAAAAAACAAGATGAAAACTTCAATATAATTATTTGAATTAAATTGAGGTAAAGTAAGCTCTGCTCCATCTTCAAGCGAAATTTTTTTGGGAATAACGTATTTCTGAAATTTACGTGTTTTAATAATTGAAATCAAAATTTCCATGGTAACAGCTAGGGCGAATTGTTTAAATTGGGTAGGCGTGTGTTGGGTGTTAATAATAAGTATCAATATAGAGTTACTTTCATAGATGTCAAGTCAGGGAAAGGTGGGGGTGTCTAAATTTGAAACGGAAGTCTGGTTGGCGTGTCTATGGAAATTTATTTATTTTCTTATTTTATTTTTTTATGAAAGAGATTTGTGCATATAAAAAAACTGCAGTAAAGTTTGTTTTTTGACCACTTCATAAAGGGTTATCTTTTTTCTAGTGTATTTAAACTATTTATTTGGGCTATGGATTATGAAAGTTATTATATTGTATGCTTGTTCTTAGATAATTATTCAAACCATGAATCTGATGATGTCGACAAAAAACCGTTAACTCATGTCTATTGTTTAATAGATTATTATTATTTAGAAGCTTAATAATGTGCAATTTCTCATGGAGGCACAAAGGGCATAGGTCATCCCAAGTTTTACATGTTCTAGTCCTGTTTATAATTTTCCATTTTACTTTAGGTGTCCTATTTGTTTCCTTCAGATGCCAAAAATATTTAGATAGGGAAGTCTGATTTCTTTTCATATATATATATATATATATATATATATATATATATATATATATATATATGAGAGAGAGAGAGAGATGTGGGTACATGCGAGAGAGATAGAGACGTAAAGCTGTATGAAAATCGACATAATTTTAAATACATAAAACAATTTTTAAAAATTCTATTTTGGCATATTTCGTTGATGATCAGGTGCCATCGAAGAATTAATGTTATTTCCCAAGAATAAAATATAGAGGGGCGGAAAAAAATGTGACAAAACGAAAGTGTTCAAGTAATATCCATACTTCAGCTGCTTACCATAAATCACATTTTGTCTCGTCAATGTAGAATTGTTTTTGTGAAATGTATTTCATTTTCTGACTATGTGAACACATCTTAGTATAAATTAATAAAGACACATATCTATCTATCTATCTATCTATCTATCTATCTATCTATCTATCTGTTCGGTACATAAGAGGTGTTTGTAGAAAGTTTGTCTGTATCGAAAATATATTCCACCGGTGAAGCTCTATATAATAGTAATGGTAGTGTCCTTTCTTTGTAAACATATTTGAACTCTTATTTGGAAAAAAAAAATTTCGAATGCAATTTCCATATATAATTTGTATTACAAGGTTGAGAATTGGGAACAATTTTTGACTAATAATCATATTGGTAAAAATACTGCCTAATATTTTCATTTTAATATACAAATATATATAGATAGATATTAAAATATATATATATATATATATTAAAATAAATTATATTTTTATTTTTATATATATATATATATATATATATATATATATACACCGGTGTAAAACCAAAATTGTCCAACACAGTTACTTAGTAACTTCATAATTATCTATAGCCCGAAATGTTTAATCTCTGAAAAGCCATAAAAATTATTGAGTCTTTTTTTCCAGGTTTACGGATAAGGCATTTTGCCATATTGACACCATTTTTCTTAAGAATCAATGAAAAAACCTTCGAGATATTTAGCTTAAAAACAGAACAACTTAGAATCGTTTTGCGTCTAACCCACTGGGCAATGGTGAGAGGAAAAAGATCATTTAGCCCTTCAATAACGGTACCAATATTCATACTCTGGCTTCCATTTTCAAAGTCCATTCAAGAACCATCAAGAAAACGGTGAGTAAGTTTAAAAACGAATGAACCGTAAAAGAGGAAAACTGGATCAGGTCACAACAGGAACAGGAAGTGTATGTTAAACGACGAATATTTGAGGCTGTTCTTTAACTCTCCTTACCATGAATTAAAATTTAACATAATGCCAAAACTATGAATGAAACTCAGTATAATTTTTGATACATTATTAAGAGGAAAGACTGGAAAAACAATCTCATGTAAAAATTATTTGTTTTACAGCTAAAAAAAAAAACAAATATTTAATTTGAAATTTTAAACTTTCAGCGGAGATAATTATTTCATTCCGGTTGAATCACTATTATTTTTTGAAAATTCACTAAATATCAAATAATAACCCGATTTTAGTAATTTTTTTAGGACATATATAAAATGTTTCCTGATATTTTACAATCAAACATTTATATCAGAAACTTTTTTCCCAATTTTTGCATCCCTGCCCCCCACTCCTCCCTAATTAAAAAAGGTAAAAATAGATATAACTACTAGGAAGTTGTTCCGCTTTTAGATTTAAAAAAATTACCATGAAAAAATTTTTTCAAGTTTGAATTTTCAAAATTGATATATCATTTCTTTTGACCCACGGTGGGAGTGAGGGGTGTGTGGCGTCGGACGTCTACAAACCCAAAATTCTATATATTTTTCGTTTTTTTTATAATTTTTTAAAATATATCCTGAAAAATTACTAAAATCGTATTATTATTTTATTTTTGGTGGATTTTCAAAAATTACGTGTGAATCACCCGTAATGAAATCTATTACGGGTAAATGACTTCCGCTGAAAGTTTTAAATTTCAAATTAAACATTTGCTAATTCTGTAAAGTGTAAAACAAATAATTTTTACATGAGATTTTTTTCATTCTTTCCTCTTAATAATACATACAAAAATATAATGTGTTTCATTCATATTTTTGCTCTAATCTGAAATTGTAATTCATGGGGGTATAAAAAGATTTGGCAAATCTACAATATATGTACAACATAGGCTAATTAATTTTGATTCATTACACGTCTTTACAATTGTATATCTTTAGTGAATAACTTCATATAACTAACACCAATGTATTTTGAATAAAAAGAAAGAAAAAAAAGAAAATTTTCAAGAAAAAATGTTTATTACATGAATTGGGATTCAAAAGTCACAAAATCAAAAATATTCTTCAGTGACTACCATAGAAATGCTTCAATTTGTGAGAGAGATCTTCTAAGTTGAGTTTGATGTTGATTGCTTGAGCACATCCATTGAAAACCTTTGTTCACAGTCTTGAAAACCCTTGTTCACAGAGATATGTTGTTGGAAAAGTGGGGAAAAGCTTTTCAGCCTCTCTTGTCAGAATTGGCTTATCATTGAGTTGAATCCAAAAATTCTGAATACGTAAGCTTTTTAAAGCGTTGTTTCTCTACTTAAATTTCTTTTTGAAACCATGGTATATCTTTTCCAAACTCACTGATGTTCACACTGAAAACATTTCTGATCCAGTTATGTTTCTTGATGTCAACATTTTCTGGAAAATACTTGTTAATTTCTTCTTGATGATTTTTCAGAATATCATTGAAAATGTTTTGATGTCAGTAAGAGATATTTCTGATGAATGTTTCAAGATAGAATTTAGTTCTGGAAAAGCTGCAGTTCTTCCTTTAGCCAACGATTCTCTCCAAAGAGTAATTTTTTCTTGAATGAGATCATTTTTCCCTATTGTCTACCATGGAATGATTTCGGTACTGCAGGAATATGTCGCTAAAATAAGCAAGCCTTGCCAGCCAAGTAATATTTTTAAAGCAGCCTGAAAGTGCGTTCTTTTTCTCACACAGAAATATTTCAATTTTAATTTTTAGTTCAATAACTTGCAAGAATCTTTCCTCGAACATCAGAGTAGAACAGCAAGTCTTGGTGATGTGATCCCATTTCTTTACACATATGGTAATTGCGTGGGTTTAAAGACCTGGACTTGACAAAATTTACAATTTGGATGGCATCATTTAGAACTTGATGGCGAACTGATAACAAACGGTGAGAGGCAATGTTTTCTCGATGTAAAAAACAGTGAATTATTATGACATCATGGTTTTCTGCTTTTTTCTCTATCCATTTATAAATTACTAATATTTTAAGTCGTATATTTGGTGGTGTCTGCAAAACATCGTTATTTCATTTCTTTGATTTAAAAATTTTTTTTAGAAACTTGATATATATATATATATGTTTTCCATATTTGAATTTTCTATGGATGAGATTGTGCATTGGTATACTACGGAATTTATGCGGCATTTTTACTCAAAGGGCCATTTTCAGGGTTTCTACAATTACATGAGTTTTCATTATTATGTTCTAATTTCATTTTAGGATCTTTATTTATTTGATTTTGGCATGAGTATTTTTTCCATGTTTTATTATGTTTTTTTTTATAATTCTTTCTAAATTTTCAGTATAGCTGTAACTTAATTTTAGGGTGATTTTTATTAAAAAATCTTGCTAAGTTTACTGTTATTAGGAAAATATTTTTCGATTAAAGCTATGAATTTTTGTCCTAGCTTATAACCATTTTTTGAACGAGTAGTGTTTCAAATGATTTTTCTTTTTCTGTTTTTCTTTTGGTTTGTACTGTTATATTTTTTTATATAATTGATGTTAGGTTGTTTATAGTCACTATTTTTTAGAGCTTGGTTTATAGAATATATCTTCATTTTCGGAATTTCTACTGATTCTACTAATTCCTTTCACAGCTGATGAAGGTATGTGCTTAATTATAGAGGGAGGATGATTTCACCTGGGTTGTATATACATTAGTAGAAATTCCACAAATGAAGGAATATTCTTTTAACATAGTAATAAAAATCAATTATTTTAAATAGTTATTCAGGAAGTTAGACATCTCAAGTACACTAATTCTTATCGGGCTTTCTAGTTGTGATCGGAGGTTTGATTCCAAAGCATGACTTTAGTAATCAGGAAAAATCACACATTATTTTCTCCTCTAATTACATGTGTTAACTACTTTTGTTGCAGAAGCTGTTAGATGTGTATAGAAAAGTTATTTTGTGATATTGCAGGACCAAATCATATCTTATTATGCGGATGAGGGTATTTTACCCTTAGATATATGGGCCATTAGCTTCCTTACTTTTTTCATCTAGAATTCACATATTAAATATATTTGTGGGTTATCCAACTTGACTTGCCTAAAAAAAAAACGTCGCTAGGAGACGCTTCTTAACCTTATAAAAATGCGTACATTTTTCTCCCCATTCTCATTTACAACTCCAGCATTAGGAGGTAGTCTAGTTACAGTTGAAAAGCAGCCACTTGGCTCGAGTGCTTTCCTCTTTTTTACAACTCTGGATATGAGATGTAGCCGAGGTAGGAAAAAAGTGTCCCCGCTGGAGCATGTTCGTTTACATAGTCATACTATTCTTTCGCGACTTTTGTACTCTTTCACATACGTCTCTATCATGCAGACCTACACAACCCGCACCCCAAAAAATACATTCTCTAGTATTCAAACTTTTCTTCCTTTCTTGTAATACTTTTGTTAATACATGCAATGCCGTTTGCTTTATATAGTTTTGTGTTACTCATTTATTACTTGGACTCACATTAGAGTCCGCTATAATTGTTACGGGAAAGCTTATGCCAGGAGGCGTGTCTATTCTGCCGAAACAAAAAGCATTCCCGTCATATTTACCTAACCAAACGTGTGTAAATGATATTCAGTAGGTGTTTTGGATATTTTGAGTGATTCGTCTGCTTCCACCCCGACACGCTTCATATAAATTTGATTATTCAGAATTGCAATTTTGATTTAATCTGAGTTCATCTCTTTGAAGCTCAATAGATGATGATACTTCACAAACCAGTTATGACACGTTGAAACATTCACAGAATATTATCCATCAATGCACAAATCTATGTTAGCCAGTGATTATAATTTTTGAAAAAAAGAAATAGTTAATATAGTAAATAGTATCTAGTTTTCAGTGTTCGAAACAATAAATAGGAATGTGGCGATTTTGACAATTTAAAAATATGCACATGACAATTTGACAATTTTGACAATTTAAACATATGCACATGACAATTTGACAATTTTGACAATTTAAACAGATGCATATGACAATTTGACAATTTTGACAATTTAAACAGATGCACATGACAATTTGACAATTTTGACAATTTAAACAGATACACATGACAATTTGACAATTTTGACAATTTAAACATATGCACATGGCAATTTGACATTTTAAACATATTCACATGACAATTTGACAATTTAAAAAGATGCACATGACAATTTGTCAATTTT